TCTTTTGACCTGAATAACGCTTGAATATTTATATAACTTGTTGGTACAAGGTATACTCGATAGAAAAATTGAAGTTTGCTGGAACGCAAGTCAAACTGCAGAAAAATCGAAGGAAATCTCGATAGGTGCATAAAACAAACCTGCAACGCAATCGCATTTCCCGATCAGAACCCCGTCACGATAATCCCTGGATGGAGGAGTTGCAGGGGTGCAACCTCCCGGCTGGGTCCCGAGAGGTCGAAAATTGGTTTTCTCTAAATGGATGGGCTCGCCGAGCCTAGCTCCAGATGGGATTTGAGCCTGTATTTTATTTTCCTTTCTTCTCCGAGAGGACGATACTCTCGCAATAATTATTATGAACGTTGATAGCACCGGATGACCAAGCGGAGAATGCATCGGGCCAACGATAAAAAATGAGCTCCGAGCAGGACCGAACCGAGTGGGGTGCACGTGGTGCTATGATCCTTTGTAAGGCAAATATTTGCTCATTGCCGAGCCGCCTTCTCTCATTCCTGATTGCAAGTCCAGACGTCGCGTCGGTCGCTCAGTGAGAAAAATTTCCATTCTGCCGGCTCCTTGTTGAAATCGCAGCGCAAAATTGAAGCGCTTACTTTTCTACTCTATCGTTAAAGTCTCCGCCGTACACTGAAAAAAAAAAAGTAGCTTGGATCAAGCATGATAATTCTTGAATTTGCCGCCAAGAATTTTCTTTATCTTGATTTAAGCTGACTTTTTCTTGATTCAAGAAAAATGATGCTTGGGTTAAGCAAAAAAGTAGCTTATATTAAAAAGCAAAATTCTTGGTTTAAGAAGAAATACTTCTTGGCGGCAAATTTAAGATTCTTTTTTTTCCAGTGTGCTGTTAGACCTCTCCGTATTGCAAGATTAAAGTTGACAAAACTCAATTGATCAAACGATAATTAAAGAGCTCCAAAGCCTTTTATTTTGAAATTTTTCTCATGACTTGATGAATCTCACTGGAAAAAAACCGGACCTTTTGATGGAAATGCACATTATTTTATACATCCATTACGATGAAGTAGATTTGGCCAGATGATAGCAAGAGATTGCTATTAGTCGACTGCCAGCAAAAGTCCTGCGGGCTGATTGTTGAAATTGATAGACAAAGCTATAGACAAAGAAGACATTGGGAGTATGACGAGCGATACTATTGATTGCAATGGGTGGTTCTTATAGACTAAGGCAGAAAATTCTGGGTTGCCGTTAGATAGTTCATTACGTACCTATTTTGTCCATTGAAACCATCTGCTTCCGCCAATAGGATCCCTCCATATCCTTTTTGTCATCTTTTTCAATTGCTTTGTCTAACAATTCCTGCAACAATCGGTTCGGAGAATCCAAAGTTTCCTCACTGAGCGTCCGACGTCTAAAATGACGTCGACGACAAAAAGGATATTGAAGGATCCTATTGGTGAAAAGGTGGTTGTAATGGACAAAGAGGGTAGGAAATAGAGAAACTAACGGCAGTCCACGAGAGACCCTTCAGTCAGTCAATCATTTTCTCCCTTAGTCTATTAGAGCCACCCATTTCAACCAATAGGATCGCTCCATACTCCCCATGTCGTCTTTGTCTAGCGCTTTGTCTGTCAATTTCAACAATCAGTCCGCAGGAATGCAAATGCTTGAGAAAAGTATTCGTGTTCTTGGGATATTCTCGGCCATCAAGGGAGGTAAAGTACCTAGCAACTTTGGCTCGATTTTGGTACGGTTTTCGTAGCTTTTGGCACGAAAACGATGAAAAATCGAGGAAACTCAGAATTAACCAGAGGCTGTGGGTCACCTTGTGTCCTACTCCCCATATTCACCAAATTCATGGATGAATTTTTCCCCAGACGTGAACGAGCAGACGGGATGAAAATTTAAGCATTATAAAATCAGTTCTTCCAAAAAAGAAGGTAACGTAGTGACGTAAAAAAATCAATTTCAAGGACCAAATTTCCGTCTGTTTGGCAAACACAATTTTTCAGCTTTCATTGGTTTTAATATTTTGCCGCTGTATCATGAATTTCTGCCTACTGTGTAACACTGACCTGCCCCATTATGCGGGTCGTTGAATATTTAACCACCAGATCTTGCCTGCTGATCTTCAAGAGTGGATTATTATTTAACGCAATACCTTGCGTCTCTGGCTCTATCTCAGTTTGATTGTTTGGAGTGCAGGCATCTCGTAAGACCGCGGTGAAGAAGTTCTGCTAATCTTACTCGGCTGAATTTTACCTCATGCTATAGTGCATCATTTTTCCTTCGGTTTCAAAGTGCCGCACCAAAAACAATAAAATGCTGTCATTGCAATATACATATCGCAATTGTATCGGGTAAGACCTAAACGTTACTGACCCTACCCGTACAATTAAATTACATTCCAAGGATGAATAAAAAGTGCAAGGGTATGTAGCTGATTCAGGGAGGGAGGCACCCTCTGGAGGTCCGGCTAGTCGCGTAATGGCCAAGGGACGTACATTTAGTCATCGATATAACGACGAGATAAAATCAAGGAAAATTGTATCTTCATTTATGTACAATGCACTGATATACCAAAATTTCGATTCTATTATTAATATTGTAATAGCACCTGCATGTACAGGTGGTGAAATTAATAATAGAAATACAGTGATTAAAACTGACCAAACAAAAAGACAACATTTTTGTACAAAATCCCTGTGCACCTATCGGAATTCATGAAATAATGGAAAGAGATGAGTAATTTCATACACTTTCTTTGGAGGCAGACATGCGGTAAGGGTTCACTATCTAGGATACCAACCTGGAGTAGATGTACGAAAAAAATGCTATACAGATCAACATAGATGATGACATTGCTACGAACATACCCTGCCTCTTCGCAGAAACCGGAAAAAGGGTGGAACATTGTTAATAGATTATAGTTTTCTCAATGACATGAATGGACTGAAATCTATTCTCTGACAAATATACCAGTATAATTACATCATTTGGGATTTGACTCCTGAGCTTTGATTTTTGTGAATGAGCGTATTTTTATTTGAAAGTTCAGAGGTCAAATATTTGCATTACAATCACTGGAAAAAAAAACACATTGGATCAAGAGTCCAGACTCTTGGCAACATTGACAAGAAAAAATACTCTTGATTCAATCGGATTTTTGCTTGAATCAAAACAAAATCCGCTTAAATTAAGAGGCTTAGTTCTTGATTTAAGCTAGATTCTGATTGAATCAAGAGTCCTTTTTCTTGTCGGTGTTTTTAAGAGTCTGGACTCTAGATCCAATGTGTTTTTTTTCCCAGTGATCCGACAATATCTGATCGCAGACTGTGAAATTAAAATTTCAAGATTTTTCTCAAATCATAGTTCTTGGAACGGCATAATTCATGGTTCAATTATTCGGGCTCAAAGTAACATACTTGGACGTATCTCGTTTACAATGCTCCGGCCAATGGGTCGAATTCTGCAATTTCGAGTTTTTCGGCATCAAGTTCCCTTCCTCCGCGGGCGATTGTATACGTTTCATTTCAAGCACACAAACAAAAGGCTGCATGACTGGAAAATATTGAGGATTTATATTTTTGACCCACTTTATTTTATTCGAGACCTCCGCTGAAATAAAGTCTGGTTCGGTTTTCACGAGACGCGTTTGTTTCGTCCGTTGTTTATTCCATTGTTGCGGTTGCGACATCCGGGAACCAAGTCTTCAGTCCCATCGCGGATCGGTTGAGATTTATGGCTTTCGCAAGGGACTGACCTCGAAAATTTGGGCAGCCCATAATTTCCTCTTCGCCTGGATATTACCCGCAGTTTTATGCCTGTAATTAAAAACTTTACCTGCTTTCAAGTAAAACGCGTTCCCAAGCATTGCCAACGCGTCGAAGATATTTTTTAACACAGCTGGTGCACTCACATTTTAATAATTGTCTCTATGAATTCCCAGCACTCTGCATCTTAATTAAATCCAGAATATGAATTATAGTGCACTATGAATGCATATCCAGAGAAACTCAAAAGTTATCTATAACTAGTTGTAACTATATGACACATTTGAGTTCTAAGAGCTGAAGCTACGTTGTTAAACGTCAGGATGACTCGTTCGAGAAAAGTGATTAATATCGAGAAATGGATGCATTATAGTGCACTGTTTTGATTTCGTCAGCGTCGAACTTTGATAATAATTTAAACGATAATTTTTAGTTGAAAATTAACAAACACAGACCGACACAACGGGCAAAAATGTTTAAGAGTACACTAGCATGCATCCACTGCTGCTCCTTCACTGAAGCAGATGTGCAAAGTTTTTGGCATCAGAATCTAATTCCTGAGAATTTTATTTTCATGGACTAAAATAATTGTCATTTGAATTTCATCTAAAGTGAAATTTGATTTATTTTTTGTGTAAATTTATGCCGACTTTCTGACCCCGCCGTTTTCCTTGGAGTTTTTGGTTTTTAATTTTTTTTTTTTTTTTTTTTTTTTTTTTTTTTATAGATTGATATTTTATCTCGCCAAAAAAAAAAACTCCGGACATGGAAGCCGTACTTACGGGCTGTATAGACATACCCTCCGCGTTCCGGGCTCAGAGGCCGAAAGTTCCGGGCGTAGCACCCGGAGCAATCGAAACTACGGCTCCAGCACCTGGAACTTTCGGCCTCTGAACCGGAACTGAAATACCGCACGTCTATACAATCCAGAATCCATAACTTTTTTTCAGTGCGTATAAGTCAATTTCTCAAATCCGTACACATCGTTGACTTAATTTTTCACCACCTCTTTTTCCTAGATTTTCTCGGTCATCATGTAGTCTGCAGGTTTCCATTTGAAATTTTTATTTTTTATTTTTATTCTTCCGACTGAAAATGGCTCAGTTTTAGACCGAAACGTCTCGAATTTTTATGTGTAATTTTTAGCCTTGTTTCCCGTTTTTTCTCCTGTTTTTGATATTTTCCCTTGAGCTGTGCAGAGAATTTTCAATTTGAATTTGACAACTAATAGGTTTTTAATTCTGTTCGCAGGGGCTGCCTGGTGACTTGCGAGTGATGGACCCGCGAAGAGAAACTGCCTCTCATCACCTGTAAAATAATAGTCCAATTCCCAGTTTGGTCGCAGTATTGTACATAACCAAGACGTGTCTTTCCGTTTCGACTCGAGCGACCCTCAAGTTCTTCGTTCGATGGTGAAATTCGGCGGTTCGGAGCCCGGGAAATTCGAATAAGCTTCAAGGCATGTGTTGCGCAGTGAGCGAGCTTTCCCGCGCGCGCTGGATCTCACCATCCCATGGATAAGAGAGGGACCTCGGAGTCTGTTCTCGCTGAGCGTAGCTCTGCCTGAGCTTCTCAGCGGTGTTTTGGCCATTCAAATCAAAGCTGTAGATTAAAGTGATTGTTTTTATTTATCGTCTGTAAAAACAGTTCTTTTATTTTAAGTTAAGCGTGTAATAATGAATAAAAATTCTATTGCTCAATAGTCCTGATGTTGTCCCTCAGAATATCCTACCTTCATCATTTTTGTCGTCTCCCGGACGAAATAACGTAACTTAATTCCAAGGTTGCCAAATTGATTCAGACAATTATTTCATTTTACTAACTTACGTTGCAATATTTATCCAAAATTTATCTGATTTTTGCATGAAATCTAAGGAAAAATCCGTGAAATTTTCAGTTAGAAATGCCCAAGATTCTCCTGGATGCAATTTGCAAGGAGAAATTTTTGGAGTTACGTTCTTTCAAGACGGACACGTCACTTTATTATATCGATGACAATGGTCGAAGAATCCATTTTTCCAACGCAACTTTTCAAGATATCTTATCATGTTCCATGTTCTTAAAGGAAATCAACTGAAATGTCTCCCATGAGTTTCCTTGATTAAGTGAGGAGAATTCATTGTCAAAATTTTCTGAGAGTATTTTTAAGTAAGTGAATATCGTTCAAGTAAAATTTCGAGAGAAACTCTTACTTTGCTCCCTTTTCAGTAAAATGAAACACAAGCGGAGATTTGTAGCGTCGCAATCGGAGATACTCATTTTTCGACTTAAGTCAGGTATTTTTGTATAGTGTCAGGAAGCTTTATAAGTAGCTATATCTACGTTGAAATTCCAAAACGACGTATGTCCTTTGCAGCGTCGAGAAATTCATGCCGCACTTTATTTTTCTGGTGAAAACGATTTAACGTCGTCCCTTCGAAACTTTCGACATTTGTTTTGTGCCTGTAAGGAATTTGCGTGAAAATTCAAGAAATGATGTTGATTGTTCTCTACTAAAAAGAGGCGAAAGGGTTGATTTGTATCGGAATTTGAGATCAAGGCTGGATTTAGGATTTTTGTCTTTGCCTTAATAATCGATTCTTTACCATAGGTTTAATTGTCATAACAATCGAAGCATCGCAAGTCACGCCACGCCACTGCTCTCGTCTTTCTTGTGCTAAAGTCTCCCACCCACAAAAAGGGTAGTTTATTCCCGCGATTCAACTCGCCAATATCATCATTAGGAAAGTTACTTAACATGATGGAGGTCAACTAAATGATTTTCTAGCTTCTTGGCTGATCAATAATTTTTCTGGACATTTTTTTGAAATTGTCTGCCCCCTATTCAAAGATACTCAGAAAATGATAAAATGAGATATTTGAAGGAATGTAATTCCATTTTAAGTTTGCAAAATAGAATTGATAATTCCGTATTTTACAAGATCAGAACTGGGCAATTTTGCCGATTTCTTCGTAAATTCAGAAGAAAAATCATCGGAAGCTTTAGTAATTAAAATGCAATTTCTAGTAATTGAATTTTTAGTAAAAAATGTCCAACAGTCATTTGAACGTATCTCTGCCAAACGGAACTATCTGCATTATGACGTGAGCCCTGTTAGCATATATTCTTGTGGGATTCAGGGCTCATGTCTTAATGCACATAGCTCCGTTTCGCAGATTTGCTTCAATTTAGTGAAAATATAATTTACCACTAGAAATTCCGCAACATTGAAAAGTAGTTCCCTTCTTTCGCACTGGGAAACAACAATCGAAGTTCAAGGGAGAGAATCATCATCTAATTTTAAATTAGATTATGCGTGAACAGAATAGTCTATATCACGTATTTGAAAAAATTTAATTGCATGAAGCGGAACTCAAAGCGGGTTTTGTGAACGTCTTCCTCGATCCCAAGTCGAAGGTTCTCAACACTCTCAACACTCAACACTCAACATTTCTCAACACTCAACACTCAACATTTCTTAACACTCACGCCGCAACGGTAAGTTCGCTTGCTTCTATCAAATAGACGGAATTACAACAAGAATCAGCCTAATTTACCCTGTGAGCCGAATATCGAGATTGATCGACAAAGCCATAGACAAAGAAGGCAAAAGGGGTATGGAGGGATACTATTGTCGGAAGCAGGTGGTTGCAATGGACAAAGGAGGTACGTAATAGACCCACAAGAGGCCCTATAGTTAGTCGATCATTTTCGCCCAAAATTTATAGGAACCGGAACCACCCACTTCAACCAATAGGCTCGCTCGGCACTCATATCAACAGCCATACTAGATTGATAAAACGAAATATTTTCCAAATTTTCCCGTCTAAATGAAATTCGAAGTTAGGGTACGCACTCCTTTAGAAAAATGTTTTGCGGCGTTTATTACAATCCGGCTCTTCAATCCTTTTAAGCAGCTGTTCTACTTAGTGACTCATTAAAAGAGCCAATAACAGGTGAAATGAAGCTAGATCGATCAGAGAGCTTTTACCAAGTTTCACATTTTCTGGAAAAAACCAGACAGTTTACATACTAATTATCCTGAACGTTGAAAAATTGCCAATTAAATAATACAACGATACCGTTAATGTTATTTTAATGCGAGCAGTCAGTGTTTCTGCGGCGAGTACAATGTTGCTTAATGTTTGCAACATTCCAATGCTGCCGTGGTGAGGAAGAACGCCGTATAAGCATTCGAGAGTTGCCAAATTTCCCCGGATGAAAATGCATTTTTTCAGGGAAGTTGCGTTTAGTTTTCCTTGAAATTTTGAGATATTTTAGACTGAAGTATGTACAAAATTGTCGGAAAAATTTGAAGGAAAATATCCAACAGCTTCCGTGAAAATTCGTATTTTATCGGAGGAAATTTGGCAAAGCCTGATGGCTCACACGGCGTTCTTTCTTAGCACGGCAGAATGCACTTGCCGTCTTTTGATCGACTCTGTCAAACTTTCCCACAAAGAACGAATTTTCTTCGGTCCGTGACATGTGTCCGGCGCTGCCTTGCTGAAAGGCAAAACGCCGTATGAACACTCGAGAGTTGCCAAATTTCCTCCTCAAAAATGAACATTTTTGAGGAGAGCTGTGAATATTTCCTCTTGAGATTTTTAAAAAGTGCAGATCCTGCTGTGAATGAAATTCGCTGAATAATTGGAGGGGAAATCTTCACAGATTTCGCTGTAAATGCGTATTTTACACAAGGAAATTTGGCAACGTCTGAAGGCTCATACGGCGTTCTTCCCTAGCACGGCAGAGCTGGTCGACTGTTGAATCGCTATCGAATGCCCTTAATCGATATATAGCGTTGTCAGGATAGGGATTTATCGATATCGAGTGGCCTTGATCGATTTATAGCATTGTGAAGATAGGGAGTTTTCTATCGAGTTATCGAATGACCTTAATCGATATATAACATTGTGAGGGTAGGGATTTGTCGATCGAGGTTATTCGATAACGATTCGATAATCGACCCGCTGGAGATGGGAACCGGGAAACTTGGCAAAGCTCGCGATTAAACCTGGCGAAACTGAATTTGCATGCGACCGTGGAGCCATCAAGGAAATAATAGCGTAACAAGCGATTGGATGTCCGAATCGTACATCTTCGCGGGTATAATTGCTAGACGGGCCCGCCTCCGACCTTCTCCGCTCGCTCCATCAAATCATTTTACATTTTATTCCAATCAGCGGAAAGTCCAATAACTGTGAGGCAGGCGCAGCTCCATTTGACACTCACAATAAGCAGACGGGTCGATTTACACGTTAATTTTTATCTTGATTCATAGTTTAAATGCCAGACACAGCTCATCATGTCTACCGTGCTCAGGAAAAACACCGTATGAACATTCCAACGTTGCCGTATGTTCACAAACTGACAGCGGTAAACTCACGTGTCGTATACTGCCGTGATAAGGAAGAACGCCGTATGAGCCTTCAGGCGTTGCCAAATTTCCTCTGGCAAATCAACGATTTTCCGGGAAAATTTTGAATATCTTTCTGCCAATTTCTCAAATAATTATGATTGCAATTTGATCGAAAGTGTCTGAAAATGTCAAGGAAAAATATTCATAATTTTCCTCAAAAATAAACATTTTATCGAAGGAAATTTGGCAACCCTCGAATGTTCATACGGCGTTCTTCCTTAGCACGGCCAGTCATCATGTCTGCCATGCTGAGGAAAAACACCGTATGAATATTCCAGTCATGAGTAGTCATAAATACATAATATGAAGAATAATAAATATAAAGAAAAACAGCGAAAAAAGAAAAAAAAATAGGAAGGGATGGGTTTTACCCACTGAGCCTAGGCTTGTGCCGGGCAAAACGCGATCTGTTTTTTATTTTTATTTTATTCATTTACTTAAAATTATTTTAGTAATTTAGCTGAAATACCAACGGTATGATACGTCTTTTCATCAAACTTGCGATTTTACTTTAAGATAACTTCCTTTGCAGCAAAGGAAGTATTGTCATCCAAAAAAAGTCGAAATTTCATCATTTCGAGGCGTTATAAGGTGCCTGGAGTAAAAAAAACGTGACTTAACTTGAAAAAATGTGTGTCCGACCGAACCGTCCGGCGTACCCTATTTCTGTGCACAGCCATATCTCAATATAAAGGCTATTTCCATTTAAATCTTCCGTCACATTCATACGGCGCAATGATGCAACTATTTGAACTCTCCGGAATGCGTGAGGTATCACGCCGCATTTGAAGGCGTTTTCAAAACAGCCAAGTTCCGTTATCGGAATGATCGTTTTGCATAGTTCATATTCTTTTGTTCCGATTTCTAACCGCTTGTTTAATTATAATCCTCCACTAAAACTTACCTATTTGCTAAACACAATTCTAGCTGAAGCGCACCTAAGCGCATTCATGACTGCAAAAATGTGAACGGAAATCGAAGAGGCCAGCGTGCATGAAGGTTATTTCAATTGTATTCTTCCGTCGCATTTCTAAGGCGCAATGATACAACTATTTGAACTCTCCGGAATGCGTGAGGTATCACGCCGCATTTGAAGGCGTTTTCAAAACAGCCAAGTTCCGATATCTGAATTATCGTTTCGCATAGTTCATATTCTCTTGTTATATTCCGTACCACTCGTTTATTTTTAATCCTCGTAGAAGAACCACCCATTTGCTAAATACAATTCTAGCTGAAGCGCACTTTAGCACATTCGTGACTGCAAAAATTTTAACTGAAATCGGAAAGGCCAGCGTGCATG